GACGTGCACGTTCCTGAGGTTGTGTGTGTGACGTGCACGTTCCTGAGGGTGTGTGTGTGACGTGCACGTTCCTGAGGTTGTGTGTGAGACGTGCACGTTCCTGAGCGTGCACAGACAGAGCAGCTGCAGCTTTTGTTCACTTCCTGTAGTCCTGCAGTTTTCAAGCTGAAATGAAAAAGCATCATGAAGATGAACTTTACAGTCTCTAGTTACCTGTTCATAGAAACACATGGAGGTGTCTCACCTGGTGACTCACAATAAAATATGTAACTTTATGAACTCTAATGAACTTATAATGATGCTCCTGCTCTCTGAAGGTGAACCCATGGTACCACACCATCTCTCAGTCGGACAGTCTGACCAGTTTGATCAAAATCCTCCAGTTTAAAATCCTCACTGCTCAGATGAATCCTCCTCAAAGATACTTCCTCCTCTTCCTCACATCTTGTTCTTTGGGAAACCTTCAAAATGAAAACAGGACATTTGTGTCTACACAAAAACATTGTACAGAGGAGGTCAAGCTTATTTTATATTTCCTATATTCTCCCTAGTTTTATTTTTTATTTCCTAGAACTTAAACAAAACTCCAGTTCTGATGCATCTCTGTTGATAATGAACCAAAGCTGCTGAAATAGTGAGTATGCTTGATGCATGCTCAATAATCCAGGTAGAAAAATCCAAAAAAGTTCAATCTGGTCCTCTGGACATTCAAAAAAAACAAAAACAAAACAAAGCAAAAAAATGTAGAAACGTTTCGTCTCTCATCCTGAGGACTTCCTCAGTCTGAGGAGCTGTATTCAGCTCAGTCTCTTAAATAGCACCTTCTCAGAGTGGATCAACCAGTTTTGCTGCTGACAACCAAAACCAGCTGATCACATGCTCAAGAAGGACCATCAGCCTAACAATGGATCATTAGCACCTGATGGCTGTTTACTGTTCACAGAGGGCTGAGTGATACTAGCAATCACAGCATTGTAAGAGGGGGACAGTTGAACCTGGAGGCTCCACCCCTGTTTAATGATGGACGATTTCTTTTCACAAAGATGGCCTCCTTTACTCCTCTCTCAAACCATCGTTCCTCTCTGTCCAGGATGTGAACATCTTCATCCCTGAAAGAGTGACCGCTGGCCTGGAGATGAGTGTAGACCTCAGAGTCCTGGCCTGATGATGTTGATCTTCTGTGCTGGGCCATCCTTTTGGCCAGTGGCTGTTTAGATTCCCCGATGTACCATGGACTTTGTGGATAAGGTGAAGGATGTCATCATGGAGACTGATGAAACAATGGTCTCTTTTGATGTCACATCACTCTTTACGTGCATTCCTGTTGATGATGCAGTAGAGGTGGTCAGTTTAAGATTAAAATCAGACACCACTCTGAGCAGCAGGACCACACTTTCCACAGAACAACTGTGTCAACTCTTGAAACTGTGCCTGCATTCAACCTACTTCACATATGGGGAGCAATATTATAGGCAGAAACATGGGTGTGCTATGGGGTCTCCAGTTTCTCCTATTGTTGCCAACCTGTACATGGAGGAGGTAGAAAAGAGAGCCTTGACGTCCTTTTCAGGGACACCACCAAGTCATTGGTTCAGGTATGTTGACGACACCTGGGTTAAAATTAAATCTCAGGAAGTCCAACATTTTACTGACCACATCAACTCTGTGGATAAATACATCAAGTTCACACGAGAAGATGTAAAAAATGGCAGGTTGGCTTTCTTGGACTGTGAGGTCTCAGTCTCTGATAGAGGACATTTGCAAACCGAGGTGTACCACAAACCCACCCACACAGACCAGTATTTACAGTTTGACTCCCATCACCCTTTGGAGCACAAGTTAGGAGTCATCAGGACTCTGTACCACAGAGCAGACAGCGTCCCCACTAGCTCAGGAGCCAGGCAGAAGGAGAAATCCCACACAAGACAGGCTCTAGAGCAATGTGGATATCCTAACTGGGCCTTCCTGAAAGAAGAAACCCAAACAGGACTCCAGTCAGCCAACAGGTGAAAAGGAGGAACCCAGACCCAGACCAGTGGTCATTCCATATGTTGAGGGAGTATCAGAGAAACTGAGACGTTTATTTTCTAAACATAACGTCCCAGTGGCTTTTAAACCCCAAAATACATTAAAGACTGGTTCATCCCAAAGATCCAGTCCCCCGGCACAAACAGAGTAATGTTGTGTATGCTGTTCAGTGTCAGGAGGGTGATCAGTCTTACATCGGGGAAACTAAACAGCCACTGGCCAAAAGGATGGACCAGCACAGACGATCATCATCATCAGGCCAGGACTCTGAGGTCTACACTCATCTCCAGGCCAGCGGTCACTCTTTCAGGGATGAAGATGTTCACATCCTGGACAGAGAGGAACGATGGTTTGAGAGAGGAGTAAAGGAGGCCATCTTTGTGAAAAGAAACCGTCCATCATTAAACAGGGGTGGAGCCTCCAGGTTCAACTGTCCCCCTCTTACAATGCTGTGATTGCTAGTATCACTCAGCCCTCTGTGAACAGTAAACAGCCATCAGGTGCTAATGACCCATTGTTAGGCTGATGGTCCTTCTTGAGCATGTGATCAGCTGGTTCTGGTTGTCAGCAGCAAACTGGTTGATCCATCCTGAGAAGGTGCTATTTAAGAGACTGAGCTGAATACAGCACCTCAGACTGAGGAAGTCTCTTTGATGAGAGACGAAATGTTTCTACATTTTTTTTGTTTTGTTTTGTTTTTGTTTTTTTTGAATGTCCAGAGGACCAGATTGAACTTTTTTGGAGTGAGTATGCTTGTTAGCAAAATATTCCTGTCATCAGATCTCAGTCAGCTTCATTGCAGCTGAACACCGTGTTACACTGAACATCACATCAGCTGGTGGACATAAATACAGTACAGTAATATTATATTCACAAAATAATAACAATAATATGTTCATCTTACTGTGAGAAGTTATCCTCCGAGACCTGACGACAACGGTCTGTCGATCTGAACAGAAAGAAGCTGCGAAGTGCTGAGACATCTTCTGCTTTAACTGAATAAGGACGACCGCTCCAAGATGGCGGCCGAAAATCCTGCGCCGCAGCAGCCGATGAGGGATCTAGTGTTTATATGATGTCTATGGGAGAAACCACATCAAAGATGTTCTGTAGTAAGAGCACTCACTACCTCACGTGCTGCGCGTATGATATGGTGAAGGAAGGATGTCTCACTCTGATTGGAATTCAAATACAAAACATTTTAACAGGGTTTTTTTTTTGTATTGGTTTACTTAACCTGATATTTACTATGAACTTATTTATCACCTCATTTATGTAACTTACTCAAGTGATGAACTTAATACTGTCTTCAAACAAAAGGCAGCACAACGCTCTTTTTCTCTGAGCGGCGAGTTGCGATGATCTGATCATATCAGTGGAATATATTATATATTATTATATTACCCACTTCACTAAAGGCTTTTAATGATGTTGTTGAAGCATTGGATGCTGTGAATTACTGTGCTGCACTTTAGTTAGACCTATCCAAAGCCACTGATAGGGTAGATCGTGACATCTTAAGCCAAAAGCTCTCAGATTTTCTCAGATCACACTGTTGGTTGGTTCTCAAACGATCTCTCAGGTCGGGGGCAATGGGTTCAACACAACGGTACTTCATCTAGCTATTTAAAGGTCACTAATGGTGTGCCACAAGGCTCAGTTTTAGGACATGCTCTTTTTACAATTTATATATATAAAGTAGGTTGAAACATTCCTGATTCCTCCTTGCATCTTTTTGTTGATGACACAGTTGTTTACTGTCGAGTTAACACAGTTGCCATAGTTTTCCAGTTTCTGCAGTCTGCATTTGACATCATCCAGTCTGACTTGTCTAATCTCAAACTGGTGCTAAATGCTGATGAAACTAAAGGGAGGTTGTTTCCAACAGAGGGTTGGTTCCAGCAACTCTTCCTCCCATCTCATCCATGCATGGTGTTCCTACTGAGTTTGTGGATTCTTACAAATACTGACAGACTAGCCTAAATAAATAAAGGTTTAATAAAAAAAATATTATATTACCCATGTTTTACTGGGGGAATATCGAAGAGGACGCACAGCAGCTTTGTAGTTAGTTAAAAATAGTTAACAAGGATGGATTAAGTTAATTCATATGAGTAAACAACACGCAGGAGACATTTGACACGCATCTCGCTCGCAGTTCCACTCAAAGCTCCACTCAAAGCTCCACTCAAAGCTCCCACCTGAGCGGGATGTGGACGCTTCACCTGTGATTTATGAAGTGTTTGGGGAAGAACTGGTCTGAACGGAACTGGGTCTGAATGGACCCACCTGGAGCAGCAACATGTTAGTCATTCAGGGAACATCAAAAACAGTAAACATTTGTTTTATTTTGAAAAGTGTAAAGATTTATCAAGTCTGAGATATCAGAATAATATTTATATGAAATAGGAGGCGTAATATATCAATTTTGTTTTTAATATTGTTTTACTATTTTAATTGTAAAAAAGTGAAACTTGAAATGTAATTTATTTAAATTCCACTTTTTGGTTCTGTTTATTATGTTCACGGTTAAATGGAGAAAACAAACACATAAAAAAGGTAACAGATCATTAATACTTGTTTTGTTCAAATAATGACTTTAACTGCTGGATGTCCGGCCCCTGAGCTGTTGGCTCTCAGTAACTGTGGCCCCTGAGCTGTTGGCTCTCAGTAACTGTGGCCCCTGAGCTGCTGCTCTCAGTAACTGTGGCCCCTGAGCTGCTGGCTCTCAGTAACTGTGGCCCCTGAGCTGTTGGCTCTCAGTAACTGTGGCCCCTGAGCTGCTGCTCTCAGTAACTGCGGCCCCTGAGCTGCTGCTCTCAGTAACTGTGGCCCCTGAGCTGCTGGCTCTCAGTAACTGTGGCCCCTGAGCTGCTGACTCTCAGTAACTGTGACCCCTGAGTTGCTGCTCTCAGTAACTGTGGCCCCTGAGCTGCTGCTCTCAGTAACTGTGACTCCTGAGCTGCTGCTCTCAGTAACTGTGGTCCCTGAGCTGCTTCTCTCAGTAACTGTGGCCACTGAGCTGCTGGCTCTCAGTAACTGTGGCCCCTGAGCTGCTGACTCTCAGTAACTGTGGCCCCTGAGCTGCTGACTCTCAGTAACTGTGACCCCTGAGCTGCTGCTCTCAGTAACTGTGGCCCCTGAGCTGCTGACTCTCAGTAACTGTGGCCCCTGAGCTGCTGGATCTCAGTAACTGTGGCCCCTGAGCTGCTGGATCTCAGTAACTGTGGCCCCTGAGCTGCTGGATCTCAGTAACTGTGGCCCCCTGAGCAGTTTAGTTGGATGGTCCTAGTGTAGAGACTCTCCCAGACCAAACACAGACAGTCTTTAGTAACGGGGATTTTGTTTTCAGCCTGTGACACAAAGCTCAGGGGAAACCAGTGGTTACTGTTTGACCTTTTTACAGTTCCTGATGCTGAAAGTCAATATTTTGTGATGCTTTGTGGTTTTGATTCAGGCCTACTTCTGGGTCTTTAACATTTAATACAATTATATTTGTGGTTTGTGTAGATTTCTTACTCTCACTGACTCTGACCTCCTTATCTGATGAAAAATTATCATCAACTTTTCTTTAATTTGGTGTTTGAGCTGAGTCCAAACAGAGTTTCAGCTGCTCTGCAGTGATTCAGAACCCATGCAAATTTCACCTTCACCATGTAAAATACAAATATAAATCATTTATCAACATTTTTTGTATAAAAGTCGACACGAAGCAGGTGTAAAGTCGACACGAAGCAGGTGTAAAGTCGACATGAAGCAGGTGTAAAGTCGTCACGAAGCAGGTGTAAAGTCGACACGAAGCAGATGTAAAGTTGACACGAAGCAG